GCCTTTCTTCTGAGGTGCCTCTGAGTAGATTCAAACCTCCAACCTTCTGGTTAGCAGCCAAGTGTGTTAACTGTTTACACCACCTGGGGACGCTGGGATCAGATTTGAAATGTGCTTACAAGCTCTGCGTGGCCTTGGGCAACTGGCCTTTCTGAATCTCCTTTTTCCCTTCTGTAGGCTGAGGGGATTAAACAAGACAATGCAGTCCACAGCACATCGTAAAACCCATTGCCATTGAGTAGATTCCGACTCATAGCGACCCTGTAGGACTGAGAACTGCCCCATAGGGTTTCCAAGGCTTTAATCTTTACGGAAGCAGACTGCCACATCTTTCTCCAAATCTTTCTCCCACAAAGTGGCTGGTGGGTTCCAACCGTCAACTTTTCAGTTGGCAGTGGAGGACTTAACCACTGCACCACCAGAGTCTTCTCTCTCTTTGCTCACTATCCTGGATCCAAAAAGCCCTTGGAGACAGCCGCTGTGCCAGCTGGAGAGCGGAAAGGCTGTAAACTAAAGTAGCAGGGTGGAGAGGCCAATAGGCATGGAGAAACGCAGCCAGCCAACAGAGGCGAAAATTCAGAAAAGAGGTTGAGGCGATTGGCAGAGGTTGCAGGCCCTCCCTGCCCTTCGCTTCCCCATCAAGTCCATGTCCAATGCACGTTACCAAGTATAAGAGACAGTTCTATGAGTGACATCTCTGCCAACCCCTGCAGAAGACAGTGTCCCTTTTAATTATTCAAAATCCCCGGGAAACCGAGGACTGAGCAGGATTGAGGGTGCTACCCTCCTCTGCCTCCTCAGTTCTCTCCGTGGAACCTGGGATCAAGACACCCTCCCCCACAACATGTAAGTACTCTGTGCCCAGTCATGCAGGGTTCTGAACGCCAGGTTCTCAGCAACCCTAGTGCTGGGAGCCCGGGGGCTCCAGCCCAGGGTCTGTGCCCAGGCTGTGTGTGTTCTCTTCACTGAAGTTTTCTTGGCCATGATACCCTCCTCCCACTGTTACACGGGTTGCTACTTTCTGTTCTGGGGTTAATGGATGTTTGTTTTACTCAGTTGACCAGTACTTTGTAAACCTTTTGTCCTTCAAAGTTGGGGGTAGTGGGTAAACAAAGAAGCAAAGACTAGCTGCCTTTGAGTGAGCCATGACTAGTGATCAGGAATTCTGTCTTATCCAAAAGGGTAAAGGGGGTAAGAGGGAAAGGAAATATGTGAGAGAGAATCAGGGGTTGGGCAAGGGAACCAGCATCTTGTCAACACCGATCTGCAACTGATAAGTGGCAGGGCTGGTCTGCAAATCCAGGAGTGTGTGGTCAATGCCCAGGGGCAGCAGCAGCTTCTGGTCTGGGATGGTGGGAGCTGCCAGAGTGCAGGGGCAGAGGAAGGGGTGTAGGGGAGGGTCTTACCGAGAAGGACCTGCCTAGCTCATCAGTTCAAGGGCCAGATGCCAAGTGCTAGAAAGGGCTCTCCGGGATCCAGCTCCAAATCAAAGCTCCAGCGCCACCTAGTGGCTACTAAGGAGAGTGCAGGAAAAAAAGAATAAGTGAGAAAGAGACCTCAAAAAAGGCGGTGCTGGAAAGGGAAAGGAGGAGCCTTGCCTTTGCCCTCAGTATCCCCCATCATTTGAGGACTTCGTTCCAGTCAGACCTCCCCGGCTGATGCCGGGTCCAGCCTGTGTTCTCTCATTGTGTGATCTTGGGCAGGCAACTCTGTCTTCTTGGCCTCAGTTTCCCCAACTGTAAAATGAAGGGGTTAGGCCAAGTGAGGTCACGTGCTAGGTGTTGTGAGTAGCAGCACTTCAGCTCATCCAATCCTTATGTCCAGGTAAGATCTCAATCATTCCTGTCTCCCACACTCCAGTTCCTCCTGACCATACATACTCCTGCTTCACTCACCTGTAAAATCCCCCATCACCTTCTGTTTAAGATTTGGCTCCAAGGTCACTTGCCCTGGGATTTCCCCCTCCTTACCCGCCCTCTGCTCCATCCTCTCATCTAAAGTTCCCTCTTTCTGCTACAGGTATAGTCAGGGGCACCTCACCCCTCCAGCCCTGAGCTCTCCCATCTCTGGAGCTTTACTTAATCAAATGTTTCTCCTTCCTCAAGGTGCAAGACATGGAAGTGTGTAAGCGTGACGGCTCTGAAGTCAGTCACTCTGGCTTCAAACCCTGTGTGGTAGGCAGAATAATGGCCCCCCCAAAGATGTCCACGTCCTAATCCCCAGAACCTGTGGATACATTACCTTACATGACCACAGGGACTTTGATGATGTGATTAAGGATCTTGAGATGGAGAGATTATCCTGGATTATCCAGGTCAGCTTTATATAATCACAAGAGTCCTTCTAAGAGGAAGACAGTGGGGTTAGACTCTGAGAAGCAGATGTGACGATGGACAGAGGTGGGAGTGATGCAGGACCATGAGCCAAGGAGTTCAGGCAGCCTCTAGAAGGTGGTAAAGGCAAAGAGACGGATTCTCCCCTAAAGCCTCCAGAAGGAATGCAACTCTACCAACCCATTTGAGACCTCTGACCTCCAAACTGTAAAGTGATCAGTTTGTATTTTTTAAGCCGCTACGTTTGTAGTACTTTGTTATAGCAGCCATAAAAAACCCAAACCTGTTGCTGTCACAGTGACCCTATAGGACAGAGTAGAACGGCCCCATAGGGTTTCCAAGGCTATAATCTTTACAGAGGAGCCCTGGTGGCGCAGTCGATAAGAGCTAGGCTGCTAACCAAAAGGTTGGCAGTTCGACTCCACCAGCCGCTCCTCGGAAACCCTATGGGGCAGTTCTACCCTGTTCTATAGGGTTGCTGTGAGTTGGAATCGACTTGACGGCAACAGGTTTGGTTTTGGTTTTCAATCTTTACAGAAACAGATTGCCACACCTTTCTCCTGAGGAGTGGCTGGTGGGTTCAAACCGCTGACCTTTGGGTTAGCAGCCCAGTGCTTAACCACTGTGTAACGGACAGGGTTAAACTGTTCCCCCTCCTCCCATCACATCCAGGGTCTGTAAGTTCCTGCTAAGGCATTCTCTGTAACAGCCCAGGGTCATATTACTGCTCCCCTGCTCAAGGCCACTTCACTACCCACCACCCCACATCCCCACTCGGACATGAGCAATAAGCCGCAAAGTTGTCCGGGGATAAACTCCACGCATCATACCCCCAAAAAACATATGCCCCCTAGCCGCCATATTGCACCCCTCACTGCACCCTCATACATATTGATTAGTTCCTGAAACTGCCTGCCTATTCCCAGAAACTTCATGAATTATGCATGAGTTCCCTATCCCAAACACTATAACTGCCCTAGAATCCCCAATCTCGGAGAGCTTGATTTGAGACTTGGTCTCTGAGCTCCTTGCTTGACCGACTTGTGATAAAGTCTACTTTCTCTTTCTCAAAGGCCTGGTGTCTCTCAACTGACTCCAGGGGTCGAGCCCGGCAGGACCGACCCTTATCGGTTTACGACTGCACCCCCAGGGCTCCCTATAGCAGCCACTTTAAATCTCTCTCTGTCTCAGTTTCTGCATCTGTAAAATGGAGGTGAAAAAGAGAGCAATTTCTGCCTCACAAGGTTGTTGTAAGGGTAAAATGAGAATGTCTGTAAATCACTTAGAATAAAGCCCGAGACTAAATATATATTAGCAATTGTTATAAGAATAATTAATAAACCAAACCCAAACCCCTTGCCATCAAGTCGATTCCAACTCACAGCGACCCTACAAGACAGAGTAAGAACTCTCCCCATAGGGTTTCCAAGATTGTAAATCTTTACGGAAACAGAATACCACATCTTTCTCAGAGGAACGGCCGGTGGGTTCGAACCACTGACCTTTCAGTTAGCAGCCAAGCACTTAACCACTGCACCATCAGGGCTCCATCCATTATCTTTAACAATAATTAATAACTACCATTGATCGCTGTACCATTAATATGTACCAAACATAGTGTCAGATGCCTGAGAAGAATTTCCTCAATTCTCACCATCACTCTTGGAGGTAACAATTTCTATCCCCATTTTACAGATGAGAAAACAGAGTCATAGACTAATTTGCCCAGTATCATTCTAGGACAGGAAGCATTTTCATCTTCGCAGTTTCTTGTAGGCACCTAGGAAACAGAAGCAGCTTGTGTTCTTTGCCGATAGTGTTTTGGGGGGAAGGTGAGAGGCGGCCGAGGGAGGGGCCCAGGCTGGGCAGCAGAGGCCCTCTAGGGTAGTGATGCTGGTTGATACCTTCTTCTCTTCCTGCCTAGGGCAAGAGGGAGACAAAATCCAGGGGAAACTCATCAACCCCGCCTCCCCCACCCCCCATATAGGGGTTCAATTACTGCTTCCCATCTCCTGGCCAACTCCTCCCGCCCAGTTCTAGCAGCTTTTGAGCCAGGTTTAGGGGCAGCAGGAGATAGGCATGGCCAGAGAGTGAAGTGTTAAATCCGCTAAGCAGTGGAGGGCGCAGACTTGCTCAGACCCCAAGGGGGTCCTGTTGAGCCTTCTCCCTTCCCGCATCCTGCATAAGGAGCCGTCTATTTTCGGCTGAATAAACAAGGAGGGGGAAGCAGCGCCCGGTCTCCTGCCGCTCCCCACACCAGCCAGACCCCAGTACAAAGCGCCTTTCTCCGCAAAGACCCCGCCCGCGCGCCGCCGGAGTGCGTTCCGTCTAGCCTACCCTCCCCGTGGCGACACAGCAAGATCCACAAACTCACCCAAGG